ATAACTTGACCTTTGGAGACATCATTAATATAAATAATTTTTATGGCCGTTGAATAAGAAGTGTTTCTTTCACAAGAAATGTATAAAATTAGTGCTGTATTAGACTTACGGTACCTAATTTACATACTGTACAGATGATAATAAACTGAACTTACTAGCCTAAAATCTCCGTAGCGTGTTGCCAGGTGGCAGAAAGCATATATATAATTATAATAAAGTTACAATAAATTAAGTTAATATATAATTATATATACAGTACCTAATTTATATATAATTAATATATAATTATATGTGCAGTACCTAATTTATATATAATACTGTACATACAATAGCAAACTCAATTTATCCGCCTAAACTTTCCGTAGCGTGGCGCTAGACGGCGGAAAGTAGTTCGGCTGCTCATCCACTATTGGTCCAGATTCGACCAATCTTGTCGCGACACGAGTCGGCGACGATGTTTTACGAGTCCCTTTATACGAATACTGCTGCAATTTTTTCGCTACGTTATAGAAATTTCCGTTATAGGAACCCACGTTATAGGGGGTCGACTGTACTGTAATTCTAATCCTTCTATTCTAGTAGCCTGGGACGCCCCATAGTGGGCGTTCTAGCAGCAGCGGTGTCATTCCGTGGTATAAATAATAAATGTCTATTACAAATAAAAATAATAATATACTGAATTTCTCATGGCGTACCCTACTAAAACGCAGCCAAAAATGCAAAAAAACCGCATCAAATAATAATATACTGAATTTATTCTTAATTTAAATATTAGCGAGGGGCGCCCCTATTGGTCATTTTTGGCATACAGTGACAGAAAGAAAAAGAAAGAATCCGGTTTTTCAGCTTTATATTATATATATAGATTATGATAAGTTCTTTTTACTATTAATTGTCTAATATTAAATTATCATCATGGTATATTATATAGAAATAATAAATATGAATGTCAGGAACAACTTGAAGGGTGCTATGTAGTGATTGTAAAAAAGTAGCATCTTAAACGTTAACGTTGTTCACCAAAATAACCTAACTTGGCTATTTGTAAGTGATCAATGAAAATTATTATTGTATATCTTTAAAAATACACACATCTTTATTTATGTAAATTAGACTGGAAGGACAATTGGTTCAAAATTCACAATTACTGTCATTGACACGAGTGATCCAGATTGGTGGCAGGTGAGGGATCATCCGTCTGCAGCACGATTATGAAGCAAAAATTCTAAAAATACCAATTTTAACTAAAAAACTGGCTTTTTTTTTAGGGAAAATGTTTAGGAAAAGTTGGATACTTCCCCTCAAATTATGTTACAAAACTCCATCCTGGGGAACATCCATTGCAAGTCACTCACACCGTTCAAGTCACTGATGGAGAAAACGGGGTGAAGTTGCTTAGAGATCAGGTCAGTTATCAATTTTTAGGGAATTTCTTTAGAATTTACTACTATAAAAATATTTTCAAATTTTTTTTTTTGTGTGTGTTCAGATTGTTATCCAAGTTGGTGAAGAGATCGAAGGAATGGTCACAATCAGAACAGGAACAACGGAAAAAATCTTTACTTGTCCATTAAAATATCTGCAAGACGTCTGAAAGCTCCCACTTATAATAGAATTGGTGTTGTCTACCCTATTTTGTTTTTCTTCTGTCGTTCTTTGTTAAGATCTGAGGTCTTAAACAAAGGCGCGTGGCTTTTGGCCCATTGCCAAAATCGAACGACACCCCCGGGTCCTACGACCTATCACCAAAAAAAAACCACACATTTTTTTTTTTTTTTTTAATTTGCAAGAAGAAGACCATGTCGTGTGGCACGTACAGTACAACTCATAGGCAGTACGATCACAAGTGCCTAGATATAAATACAACACACCACACACACATATATATATATATACACACGAGTANTATTGTAATTAAATATTCACATAAAAAATGTTAACTTTTTATTATTTATAAAATAATAAATATCTTGCAATTATACAAATTGCATCTCAACTTTATTTTTTAGAAGTTTAAACATTTGAAATCAAGTAGAATGTTCTATTGCATATTCTATGTACAGTACATATGAAACATTTTTAGATATTTATATTCTGAAAATTTAAATTAATTATTTATGATTTAACCTCACTTTTTTCTAACAAAATTCCATTTTTAAACAGCCAAAACCACGTCTTTTGAGAAGACAAAAGTCCACGTCTGAGATCGAAACGAAAATGTTGGCAACAGAACCCGAAGAAGATAGTAAGTGGTGAATATATCTACATCAGAGACAGGTGCAACCACGAGTCTTCCACTATCATCGAACACACTTTTAATTTCATTTTTTTATTTTTTATTTTCTTCAAAAAAAAAATTTGACTTCGGTATAGAAAATACAGCACTAATTTGCATGACGTGCTAAATATCTTCTCTCTATTACTTCTTTCCAACTAATAAAAATGCTATTTCTATGCATCTTTCAATAGTATAGATAGAATTATAGATTAAATTTCAATTATACATAAGTAGCAGGCATGTAATTGGCCTGATAATACGATAATTTACAGCTTTAGAGCTTTAGTTTATAGAATTTTTTTTATAGTTATAATTTGCATGAATAACTATTTTTACAGTCGGATTTCCATTTCTTTTGCTTGTCTTTGCTCTTTTAACACTGTTTTTAATCGTATTGCATAGGCTAATTTTGGCATATTTTAATGATAAATAATCGGAAAAGCTAATTATTTATCGAAACGATTTAATGAAGAAGCAAAAATTCGGTTTAATTAAGCACAAAATGAACCTAGGAATCTAATTTTTAAAATTTTATTCGAGAATTTGAATTTGAAATTTAAACCGTTACTCTATTGGCTGATTGAAGGAGGCGGAGTAACGATTAGCCAATTAAACTTACAAGGAGAGTAAAAGATAAAAAAGCGCTATCTCCATTATCAATTGATAGACTACAAATGTCGTTAGGAACTTTTGTGCTTGATTATTTATCTTCACGATCATTTTTACGTTTACTTCATTGCTTAATTATTCATCTTACACTATTCTACTTCAATTTAAGATAAGAATTTTAATTTTAAATGTGTTATTTTTTTAAAATTTACTTTATTTATCGATACAGCATCGTGGTTTAGATATTAATTAATTAGAAATCAAAGTTTATTTATGCGAATTTCGGACATTTTTGCCTAATTTTACAGGTAGGCAACGGGATGGGGATCCGACTGATTATATTTATTGCGTACTTATGAATATAAATATAAATAGATATTTTATATTTAAAAAAAAAACAAAATGTGTGAACCAAGAACCTGTTATGTCTGGTAATTACAGAACAAGACGTAGATCCCATCTACCAACTATTGAAGCAAGCGGGTGACATCAGCGGTAGACGTAATGATAAAGATGGGAGTAGCCAAGGTGGGGTTGGAGGAAGTATAAATTCCAGCCTGACATCCCTCCACCAACGATGGCCACGCTCCAATGCCTCATCTTCGGCTTCCTCATCTTCCTCTCATCTACTTACAGTATCCTCTGCCCATCACGAGCACATGTCATCCTCGGGTGAGCCTTCGTAACCCATGGAAATTTATTGTTAAATTTGTAAAAAAAAAATAAATAAAAACAGAAAATTTGTATCGCATTCGCGCGATTATCGACTTTCCATGTCAAAAATGCCGGTTTTTTCTCTAAAAAATCAGAAAAATATATTATAATAATTAAAGAAAAACACTTCAGGAGCCTTCGTACGTAACGTGTAATTATAAAAACAAGGTAATAATAATTAAAAATGGCCGACTTATCGCTTCAAACTGTGATATATAAAAAAAATATCCAAAAAAAAATCATAAATTATAATAATTTTTTAGAAAATTAGTTATAAGTTAACATCCTTTAAACGAATTCCACCTTATGTAACGTACTTGAAAGTATATAAAATTCGAGTAAAACACCTGTAATTTTCGTTTTAAATTATTTTAAAAAATACAATTTATGTGCCTTTAATATAATTAATAATAATAATAATAATAATGATAATAATAATAATTACACGGATTAAATATTAAATAATTAGTTTAATTTTGATTTTAAAAAGTAAAAAAATTGTTAGATTAATTTTTTTGCTTATAAAGTTAAAAAAATTTAGATTATCTGAAAAAAAAATAAAACAATTTTGCTTCTAAAGATTCTTAAATTCAGTTTTTAATTAATTGCACATTTAAATTATACATANACAAGTAGAAAATCAATAAACAATTGATTATTCATACATATAAAGTTAATAAATATTCTCTTAACAATACTCCAAAAGCGAATTGTCTGGTGTAAAATATTTCGGGTCGTCCAAATTTATCTTAGGTGCAATCTGATTTATAGATTAATGAATTTATCTCAATATTCTCTAACTTGAAGATGAGGAGAATATAATTGTTTGCATATAATTATAAGCGCAATGTAAACTTACAGTGATTGAGGTAAATTTCATATGTAAAAAAGAGTAATCTATAGGTCAAACAGTACACGATAAGATAAAAGATAAAAGGATTTTCACCTATGTTTTTAGAGAATATCAAATTTTGGAAATTAGGGTGGTCGTCATACCATATAATTCGCCATCTGACCGTTGTCACCTTATTGTGAGAAAATATTGGGACTTACCTCCAAGCATACGGTATCCAAACACACAAGTTTCTATAATTGCTTCACACGAATACAAGGACACGTCCCAAAAAAAAGATAAACAATTTTTTCATCGGTTTTCCTAGTACAAAGTTTAAAGTCTCTAATCTAAATATCTAGTTTAGATTACGATATTATTGATATGAGAAATGCAGCCATTATATGCAGCTGGTTAGATAAGTGAGTTAGAGAAGTTTTAAGTCTTATAATAAAAGATAATTTAATAGATTTGACAGTAATTCGACAAGATAATTTTTCGCATAATTATTAGAAATCTATGAGATTAATAATTTAATTTTTTTATATTATAAAAAATGATATAGAAATGGAAGCGACCAAAGAATACAAATGGAACGAGAAGGAGTTACAGGAATTTCGAACGACTGTTCTAAGTGAGTATCGTTTACATATTAATAAATATATTTTTGTGATTAATGTGTTCTTTCCGCTTCTGTTAATGTTGCTTCTATATACATATATGACAGTGTTTTTTTCTGATTCATTGTCTTTTTTTTCTGTGTGTACGTTGTTTATTCGTGTGGCCTCTATCAAAACGTGATAAAACACATTTTACTTTTATTTATTTATTATTTTTTTTTATTTTTCCTCCTGTTTTTTCAACTTTATCTTCGCTTTTTCCCCCCCTCTTCGCTTCTACGCAGCTGGAACCAGAAGAATCGTTTCAGGTATATTTTGGTAATGCTTTTGTACGGGTTGTCTGTCTGTAAACACATAAAAATATATACTTTTTTTCATGTGATTTAGGCATGTCTTCTTTCTATTCTTCAAAGAAGAGAGAATATATATATATATTTAAAATTTTATGTATTTTTCGAAAGTTTAATCACTAATAAAAATTATATCTTCACGGGTATTATTTGTGAGCTTTTCTACATAATACACACTTTCTTCCTTACAGCATGAGCACATTGTTTTCATTAAAAAATACGTATCATCTTCGTTAACTTAATGTGGTTTTATATATTCTATATCTATATCTATATATATATATATACATCTAGCATGGCCGTGTGTCGTCGCGCATGTGTTCAATTTCTTTATGGTTCCATATCTTATCCCCATTGTTCCTTACCTTTCTAGTGTTGAAACTGATCAATATTCTGCATGCTCTTGTGTTACTTGATCGTTTATTTCGTGTGTGTTTCCTATACGTGTAATAGTGTAATGTGTGTTTATATAGTAGTGTTTTTTTTAATTTTCTTCGTTTAGAAAAAAAATACCTCATCCCATTACATTTTTGAATATATTTAGCTCCTCACAGTCCCCGCCGTCAAAAGCTGTCACTTCGTATGAAGAGCTTCTCTCTGGATAGTCCCGAATCCAGTGAACACGTTCATAGAAGACATCACATGGGTCAATCCTCATCACACTGCAGCTCCCATAGCCAATGTAATGTCTAATATTCCAAAAAATATCTAACTTATCCCATTATATCCTATACTTATCCGGACATCAACAAAGATACAAAGACATTGAAAATTCGAATTTAAAAAAAGAAATTATGTTTGCTTTTTATTTTCGTAATTTATTGGGAGATTTTTACGTCTGGTATCGTTTGTTGATGGGTATTTTCTATTGTTTTTACGTGTTTTTTTTTTAAATTATCTTTCCGTTGTTATCCATTTTTACCTGATATATATAAATATATATATAGCCTATATAATTTTACTTAATTTTTTAAAAAGATTAATAATAAAATTTACATATTTTATCATTATTTTCTGCATGCATAAATTATTAAAATAGTTGTGTGTATATATACATATATTTATAAATTAAAAAGAAATATATTAAGTTAATTTTTAAATAAAAAATACTAACATAAAAAAAACATGTTAATACTACAACTACTACAGTAACAAAATTAACCATGTAAATATTCGATCGTTTCTTAAAAAAACACCTTAATTATAATTATATTATAATAATTATTATCTAAAAAAGGACAATTTAAATTGCGGAAACATTCTAATTTTTTTTTTAAATTAAACATTTTATTAACTAATAAAGTGTGTTAAAAGACAATCATCATCGTAGAAGAGGCGATGTGATCATCCTCTAATTATATATTCCTTGTGTTTGTTGTTGTTATTAAATCTCTCCAAATGTAACCCTCTCCTTGTCTGTGTAGCTCCACAAAGTCCACAGGGTCGAAGACAATTACTGAGTGCCAAGACAGTGAGAATGAGTTCTGTAGACCTTCCTGATGATAATGAAAAATCCCTGAGTAGTGCCTCCACGTCCCCTTGTCCATCACCCGTAAGTTCTAATAAAATGCTATGAATGAAAGCCATTAATCAATATCATTTAATCCTATAGTAGCATCGAGGGGATCCACTTTATTTTTTTATTTTATTTTCTCTTCCTTCTAATTATCCAATTATACGTTGAGAAGTTACAGTTATCAAGGATAAAGAACTGTTGTGTATTTATTTAATTTTATAATTTTTCTTTTATTTTGCTTCTTCTGAGTTTTTTTTAAGTTTATTTCGTTTTATTTTTACGTTAAAGTTTTTACGTATGTTTTAATTTGTATGCATCTTGCATTTGTATTATTTTTCTTAACTGTTAAGAAATATATTTAATTATAATTAAATGCATGATTTTTTTGTTGTGCACATTTTTAAAATGCATTTATTTGTTGTGCATGCGTTTTTTTCTACGCATTTCTTAGTGTAGTTTCACCCTATTTAACATACAATTCGCATTATATTATTATAACTAGGTGGGCGGTATCTCTAATATATTATTTACATTATATTATAATTAGGTGGGCGGTCTTAATGAAATATATATATATATATGAATATTATATTTTTTCATTAAAATATTAATAAAATCCAATTAATCATTATATCATTTTTAAGCCAAAACTGATCGCGAAGCTTACATTTTTTCAGTAGGATGAAAGTAGGTTGGGAAGGTGCACCGTTCTAAAACACGATTTATCAATTATAGTAAATAATTTACTTATAAAATCGTTTAATTAAATTGTCTTTAATTTAAATATAAGAATATTTATTTATTTTTACTAATTTATTTTATATTTTAAGCCATGTTTCTTCAGTACAACGTGATTACTTTTCGGCCTCCGATACAAATTTCGAGATGAAAAAGAAATTTAAAAAAAATCCCGAAGATAATAAAAACATTATTTATTTAAATTTTCAGCACTTGTAAACATTTGAGCCTTTATTTTCAGCACTTATAACACCTGATTTAGCATTAAAAGTGGGAAAAACAAGCGCTCGAACCTTAAAAAGAAGAGCATTTAACGAAGCGTTCGCTTGTCTGTCCGCTCCGTATAACTAAAAATACCTTATGAGCTTTAAAAAATTGGAAAAAAAATCGATAAAGTTAGCCTGAAAATCGCACCGATCAGGAGCAAGATACGAAATTTAACACCTACGATATATTGAATTATTTACTATAATAGCATGTTATTTAATATAATGAAGATGTAAATAATGTTTGTTTATATACAGGAAACACGTTATTTTCCCTTCTGTTTCTCTTTGTTTTGATTACAGAAACCTCATCGCCTGCTACCGACCAACCTCTACGTCGTCCTCTACAATTTCCGTAGCAGACACGCTGATGAATTGGATTTGAAGTAATTTCATTTTTCTATAAAATTTACTCGAAATTTTATCCTTTTTTTAAAAAGAAATTTCATTATTAAATTCGTTTTAAGTAATGTTAAATGTCGATTTTTAAGCTTGTTAAACGGACCGGGTGGAATTTAATTTAATGGTCATAAAATAATCAGAAAAAAATTTTTTTTATAAAAATTAATTGCATTTTTTTACGAATTTTACTCTAATTTTCGCGAAATTTAAAAGATAAAAATGAACTCGAATTTAACAAAAAAAAAACTCAAATAAAATTCCTAAAAAATGCAATTAATTTTTATTTTGATTTAAATAAAGCATTGATTTTTATTTATGTTTTTTTTTAATTTATATTTTATTTAAATCAAAAATATTATTATTTTTTCTTCTAAAAAACTCATAATTGCAGAGCTGGATACACAATTACTGTCATTGACACGAGTGATCCAGATTGGTGGCAGGTGAGGGATCATCCGTCTGCAGCACGATTATGAAGCAAAAATTCTAAAAATACCAATTTTAACTAAAAAACTGGCTTTTTTTTTAGGGAAAATGTTTAGGAAAAGTTGGATACTTCCCCTCAAATTATGTTACAAAACTCCATCCTGGGGAACATCCATTGCAAGTCACTCACACCGTTCAAGTCACTGATGGAGAAAACGGGGTGAAGTTGCTTAGAGATCAGGTCAGTTATCAATTTTTAGGGAATTTCTTTAGAATTTACTACTATAAAAATATTTTCAAATTTTTTTTTTTGTGTGTGTTCAGATTGTTATCCAAGTTGGTGAAGAGATCGAAGGAATGGTCACAATCAGAACAGGAACAACGGAAAAAATCTTTACTTGTCCATTAAAATATCTGCAAGACGTCTGAAAGCTCCCACTTATAATAGAATTGGTGTTGTCTACCCTATTTTGTTTTTCTTCTGTCGTTCTTTGTTAAGATCTGAGGTCTTAAACAAAGGCGCGTGGCTTTTGGCCCATTGCCAAAATCGAACGACACCCCCGGGTCCTACGACCTATCACCAAAAAAAAACCACACATTTTTTTTTTTTTTTTTAATTTGCAAGAAGAAGACCATGTCGTGTGGCACGTACAGTACAACTCATAGGCAGTACGATCACAAGTGCCTAGATATAAATACAACACACCACACACACATATATATATATATACACACGAGTACATACATGCATACATAAATTTCTTAATTTTATTCTCTCTCTTTTCTCTCTCGTTAGCTAAAACGTGTCCAGGACCTTTATAAATTTAGTTTATACGTATGTATAGTATATATAACAATAGTTTATAACCTGTTATACGAGCCGATCGAGTCATTTTACCATACTTGTATATTGTTATACCAGGGCATAGATTTAAAAACTTCTTTAAAAAAAATCATATTGTAATGAAGGCAATTTACTTGAAACATTGTTATTTATACATATATTTGCATAAGAAAATAATATATATAAAGTAAAATTTAAAAAATACAGAATTGTGTAGTGTAGTACAGAATCAAAAAATTCAAAAAAAAATTGGAATTTTTTGAAGGTCAGAAAGTAGTTTAAAGTTAAATTTTACTTTATATATATATAAAAATTAATAATTCATAATATAAAATTAAGAAATTCGACTCCAAACTTTAAAAAAAAACACACTTTTTTCAACATTTCTAATACACATATCATGATATTTGTTAGAAAAAATGCACCTGTTAGAGACGGTATATATATACATATCTTATATAAAATATATTTTTAACAGAATTAGAATTATTATTAGACTTTTTTTTTATTAATTCTATTAAAAAAACCAAGCCAAGAAGCGAGAATATAATTTGTTGATGACCATTTAAAACTTTAAATTTAAAAATTTAAAGCCTGTAGATCTACATAGAAAGAATATTGTTTATACAGGTGGTTTTCTCCATTGGTGGCAAATTGTGTATGTTAAAAAACAAAAAAAAAAAACAAAAAAAAAAGAATTGTTACTACCAAAAAAAAATTTATTATTGTTAAATGTTATATATAAGAATTTGGAACAATTTTACTACTGATTGTTCGTTGGAAAAATTTTTAATTAATTAATTAACTAATTAGCACGAGCACATATTCACAGATCACACACAAACACACGGACACATACCTTTATATAAATGGACTGCACAGAGCTTATCTGCACTTTTGGGCTGTTAATACTATCCAGTGATAGTTATTGCTCTGTTGGTAATTGTGATAATGTTGGCTAAATAGTTTGAAGCTGCCTTGTTAACAATATTTTTAAATGAAAAACATTAAAAAAAAAACTTTTGTCATTTTAAATGTGAAGTCATGTTTGGAGTGAATTAATAAAGAAAGAGATAGTTTTCAGTATGTTGTATTCATTTATTTGTGTTGTTTTTGGGTGAAGTAAGTGGGAATTGTGTGTGTAAGTTGATACAGTACATAAAGTGCTACACACGTTCACTGATACAGTTCGGAAGGGTGAGGAGAGATGTACACAAAATCGATATTTCGTATGCACTTTTAGAATATTGTAGGTACATACTCGACGTTGAGTGTTCTAAACACATAAAAATGATATAAGACATTTTTAAGCCAACGAATGTCTATAACACATTTATTACCAGCATTAAGAATTACACTACGCGTGTTCTCTTCATCTCTGCGTATGGACCAAACAGATTTTCTTTTATTTTTTACACTTTTACGTCACTTATAATCTCGACAAAAGTACAGTTTATTGTTCTATAGAAGTTAGTTAATATATTATTAAGAGTTATACGATAATTACATTAAATTTCGTCAATATTTCATGTTGGCACGGATCCACGGAATAACTTTCTCGAATTCGAGTTACGTTTTACGTTTTAATTTATTAATAGGAATTTATACATGAAATGCTATTAAGTTATCGAAAGTCTGTGCTCGATTCTAGTGTTTTATTTTTTTATTTGTTTTTTTTTTTCGTGCGGAAGAAGAAAGGAGAGAGATAACGGAATCCATTTTCTAAATGTTTAAACTTTTATCAGATTGTGTCAGAGCAATTCTTAAAGCCGATTTTCTTGGAGTAGTTTGTAATCTTATACCCAGAAGATCTCGGGGAAGGGTATAAGATACAAAATCCAAAATTTACAGGGCCCTTTTTATCTTTAGAGGGCCCTTTTTTGACCAGTTAAAATATAGTCTTAATTATATTTTATTTTCTGTTATAAGAGTAGCTTTAATTTTTCGTAGGGGTAAGAAACACTACCATGGCCCCCTCCGTACCATAAAAATCAATTACATTATCAATCTAAGGAAGATTTCATTGTTTGCTTCCAGACAAGCGAAAAATTTCAGTGAAAATAAAAAATTTCTCGGTATATTTTTATAATTTCAGTAATAAATAAATAATAATAAAAAATGATTTATAACTTTACAAGATGAATGAACTGTGTTAAAATTTGATAAATAACACCGATGTTCAAAATTGATTGTCAACGATGCTGTATCGAAGAATTTTTACTACACAAGAAATGGAAAATTTTGATAAATTGTAGGTAAAAAAAAGCTAAAAAATATAGTTTAAAACCGATAAAATTTTATTACAAATATATAATACCGCGCCCCCGCTTTACGATTTAAGCGGTTCCCCCAAAAAAACACGTCGGTCGTAAATCGAACCCAAATTTCCTGTAGACTTAGTGTTATAAATCGGGGTTACGTTGACGTTATCACAATTTGAACTATATAATATCTTATTTTTGATAGGTCAGCTGAATGTGGTATTTTATATAAATGTAAAAGGAATTTTATATCAATCATAAAAGCTGGGATTAGAAAGATATCGGTCGTAAAGCGGGGTATGCTATAGATAACTTGACACCCCATTTTCTATTGTGCTTACTGTTCGTCTATTTCTCTATCATACTACGGGAAAATGTATGTTATGTGCGCGACATGTATGACGTGATTCGAATTTTGAATCTATTCAGTGAATATCTGAATTAGTATTAAGTCGCTTGCAATGTAAGCTATGTGTTGTGACGTAAGCTATGAGGTAATACAGCTATAATGACGTAATGATACAACGGTTTTAGAGCTAAAGTATCATAAAATCGAACCCGAAACGTCCTTGGTATATGAATGGGATCGATAACATTCCAGTTTGAATTACATGTATCTTGGCGACACTTGCAACTCTAATTTTTATATAATGCACCACACACGAAAAAAATAGTACAGATTTTAAAATTAGAATAATTAATTCAAGATTTATAATTTTAAAAAAAATTAATGCGTGATTAAAAGTTCATAAATTTTAAAATAAAAATGAAATTAGGTCGAGCGCAAAGAGGTTGATTAAACAGCCACGGCGACGTCAGACATTTTTTACTTACTTACGTCGATCGATCTGATTGATTGTTAGATTTGCCACGTGACATTAAGGACCAATCAACAAACCGCACGAAATTTCGAAATTAATTCTGTTAAAGTACAGTAACTTCTTTCGGCGCCATTTTGTATCCAAAAGAATAAATTAGTTATTTTTTTAAATGACGTTTTTACGAATTGAAGTTAATAGAGTAAATGAAGATTAACTGTAGCGTTGTTACATCATTAAGGGTGGTGTAGGTTTTTACCATAATTTGACGTTAACTCTATTTTTACAATGAAAAATTTGCTTGTAAATATACATTATATCGACCAATTGAACAGTCCTATACAATTGCGAATACAGTGGGCATCAAGTTTAGTATAGTGAAGAAATTGTGCATATGATTGTAGTATGATGTAGCTACAATTTTTTACGAACATCTATGCGATTCACAGCTGTGCACAGATTTATTTGCACTCATATTCTTCATGTTAACAATCAATAATCATTGGCAGGTGTCCACAATCTTTATAATCAGAAATTTAGATAATTAGTATGATTATCTACATAAGACGATTACTAAATTTTATCATCATCATTGAACAAACCTTACAATGACGTATGTACGATGTTTACATGATCTTTTTTAACTCGTGGGCTTGGGCTTGAGAAAAAGTCCTCTTAATGCCCTCTCACAAGTTCGTCCAGGCTTACAATGGCCTTATTGGTGAGCCTGACCAAGATTATTAGTAGTGAGGTATGAGACCCAACATACCTAGTTGAAAATTTTTGAGGGATGTGGCCAGAACTAGGACCCCTCAAAAGTGGCAAGCAGCTTTACCTCTTCGATCCTCTAAAACTTATATTTAAGAACTAAAATAATTCCAAAGCAATTATTTTCAATCATCTCTAGCGTATTGTATCCATTATGACAGAATACTCTTATCGTATTTTACTTGTACTATACACTAGAAATATACAGTAGAAGACAATACGCAACTGTATTGGCAATAAGTTGAATAATTTATTTTCTCTGATAGTAAATAATTTCATCGTCAGATGGCAGCACTATAAAAAATGGTTAAAAACATTTTCTTAAATTAGGCCTTTGTGTTTCAATATTTTCGTTTATAATAAACGTTTTTTGTAAGGATATTAACATGAAATAATAAATTTGTGTGGTGTATATACAAGAAAGATTAACATTTTTGTCCATTATAGACAGGTTTAACCTGCAATGGGAATTTGAACCCTGAAACTAGTGATCAAATGTTATATTCACTGGGCCATTAATGGACAGAGTAATAGATGTTTCAAAGTCGCATGTCACGTGATAAAACGCACGTTTTCTCCACCCCTTCGTCGCCATGTTTGTGGTCTAGCTTCCGCTTGCTTAGTATACACGTGGTTTGTTATTTGACAGGTTGGCAGCACTTTTTTCAATTTAAACTTAATAAAACTGCAGTATTTTTATATCATGGACAAAGTTAAAAAAAAAAAAAAATGCTTTTCTGGCGGGTTATTCTCGCAGTCTGACAGGACCAGAGTCGATAGATATACTGATCCTTAAGCTATGCTCTAAAGTAGAGTTAATGTGTCAGGTTGCCGATAGCTGGCGTTAGAGTAGCACTACGGCGAGAAGTTAGTTAGTTTATCTATTTGGTTAGTAAGTAGTTCTATCGTTTTCAAGCATTTTTGTAACATTTTTGTTACTGTTCTGTCAAAAAAAAATCTTATTCGTAATTACATTTTTAAATTTTATATCATGTATAAAGAAAGAAAAAGTATATTTGGCTCAACTTTAATCTCTATCTCGTAGATAAACACAGTATAAATTGTGAAATAACATATATCATGGTTCCCTTTTCACTGAAAAGTACAATAATTCACCTAATATTAATAAAAAAATAAAAAGTATGGGCTTAACCTTGATAAACACCAAAGCCACCCTAAATCTCTTTTTTTTGTAACACTTTAAACCTATCCTATATTAACACATGGTTTAACATTTTAATACATTTCCATAATTTAATGTATATTATTTTCATGGACCGCTTTTCTTCCTGACTCAGAGTTCTCGAGAATCCCGAAGGCATCCCATATTAATAACCCAAAAATATCTTAAAATGAACACAAACTGTAATCAAAAAACAGTCTAAACAATTTAAAGTCTAAAATCGTAAAAGTGACAGTTAATAGAAATATTAACGACATTTACGAATAAATAATGTTCAAAACCGAATTAAAATAGCATTTATAAGCAGCCCTTTAAAAAAGACAAAAGAAATATCCGAATTAAAAACGAGAAAATTTCATATTAAAAGAATTTCGAATGTTTAAAGCTGACACTCCCTACGCTCAAATCAAATTTACGCCGTAAAGCGATTGCAGCGCTGGAAGTGGCAGAAATATTTATTACGTTACCTCCGTAGCATTAGAGCTATTGTCAGCTCAAGGACCAGGACAAGATGCTGCTTTATATGAAGACAAAGTTTCATTATATCAAGGAGTCGATCTATACGAAGCCAGCATCTTCGTTGTAGATCAAGAGTTGTGGCCTAAAGTAGAATTTGGTGACATCAAACTATTTAGTTTTGACGACAAATTACTATAATCTTTTACAAATGAAAGATTACAAATCTTTAGAGGCCCATAACTTTCTTACAAGTAGCCGTGTTTCTCCCGATTACGTGCTTTTTCATAACGCTCCCGATATGCAGTTGGGTTGCAGCCACTCTCATACTCAGGGACAGATCTACGTAGGAACTAATAGGATTTAAGTCATGGGCCTCCAAGTGTCAAGGGCCCACAAAAATTGAATTATCGTAATAAATTTTTAATACTTTTTTTATTAACAATGAGCACTTATTGTATAGTAAAAATAGTTATTAATATTAAAGAAATGTCAATGTTGCTCACTAAAATAACCTAATTTAGCTATTTGTAAATGAACAATGGAAATTATTGGTTTATATCTTTAAAAAATACATACACTTTAATTTATGTAAATTAGACTGGAAGGACAATTGGTTCAAAATTCATTTCTAACTCTTCATTCCGCTAAGCGATTATCACTTTGCTTAACGCTTTAATATTAACTCTACTATGTATTTATTACAAGCAAAGACTAAGAAAACAAACCGAAAGGTGAAAAATAAAGTTAGGACACAATCATTATCTAATCAAACTAAAATCTGCGGTTGTTAAAATTATTTAACTTTATTTTGTTGGTATTAACAAAGGGATTTAAGCAACCGGCTTGTACACACTTCTATGATACACATGCAATCATTTATCTAATCATTTATTGATAAATAGTAATTAAATATTATTGCTTACCTGAACTCTTGTATTGATATTCACTTTATCCGTATGGAAATTTCTCGAGAGCCATGCAAATTGCCTTTGTAGTGAAAGCTCCTCAGTTTGAGGTCCTTGATGTTAAAAAACAATGACGTTCCTTTGTTCTCCAGTGAACTAGTATTACACCCAATTACACAACAATTCACCATAGTAATATTCGCGACGAATAAACAACGCAAGAACTCCAGCTAAAGCGCGCGTAAACACAAATAAAACGCAAACAAACCATAAAGATGGCACCGGACAACTGCGTATGCTCACGATGTCACTGGTGATGTCGACTTGAAACCTTCCTACAGGAAAATAAAGTTTTATTGTATTTTTCTTTTCAATCTTCTATGTTTCATTTTTATCTCACCTTCCATTCCACTGGCATTAAAAGAGTTTTTTGTAGGCCCTTTTAGTTGCAGGCCTGGAGAAAAGGCCCTCTTAGTACCAGCCGAGTAGCGAATAATTATGTATGTATCTACTTAATTCTTTACACAATTAAAAAAGAATACACTAAATTTGNGCCTGGAGAAAAGGCCCTCTTAGTACCAGCCGAGTAGTAAATAATTTACTTATAAAATCGTTTAATTAAATTGTCTTTAATTTAAATATAAGAATATTTATTTATTTTTACTAATTTATTTTATATTTTAAGCCATGTTTCTTCAGTACAACGTGATTACTTTTCGGCCTCCGATACAAATTTCGAGATGAAAAAGAAATTTAAAAAAAATCCCGAAGATAATAAAAACATTATTTATTTAAATTTTCAGCACTTGTAAACATTTGAGCCTTTATTTTCAGCACTTATAACACCTGATTTAGCATTAAAAGTGGGAAAAACAAGCGCTCGAACCTTAAAAAGAAGAGCATTTAACGAAGCGTTCGCTTGTCTGTCCGCTCCGTATAACTAAAAATACCTTATGAGCTTTAAAAAATTGGAAAAAAAATCGATAAAGTTAGCCTGAAAATCGCACCGATCAGGAGCAAGATACGAAATTTAACACCTACGATATATTGAATTATTTACTATAATAGCATGTTATTTAATATAATGAAGATGTAAATAATGTTTGTTTATATACAGGAAACACGTTATTTTCCCTTCTGTTTCTCTTTGTTTTGATTACAGAAACCTCATCGCCTGCTACCGACCAACCTCTACGTCGTCCTCTACAATTTCCGTAGCAGACACGCTGATGAATTGGATTTGAAGTAATTTCATTTTTCTATAAAATTTACTCGAAATTTTATCCTTTTTTTAAAAAGAAATTTCATTATTAAATTCGTTTTAAGTAATGTTAAATGTCGATTTTTAAGCTTGTTAAACGGACCGGGTGGAATTTAATTTAATGGTCATAAAATAATCAGAAAAAAATTTTTTTTATAAAAATTAATTGCATTTTTTTACGAATTTTACTCTAATTTTCGCGAAATTTAAAAGATAAAAATGAACTCGAATTTAACAAAAAAAAAACTCAAATAAAATTCCTAAAAAATGCAATTAATTTTTATTTTGATTTAAATAAAGCATTGATTTTTATTTATGTTTTTTTTTAATTTATATTTTATTTAAATCAAAAATATTATTATTTTTTCTTCTAAAAAACTCATAATTGCAGAGCTGGATACACAATTACTGTCATTGACACGAGTGATCCAGATTGGTGGCAGGTGAGGGATCATCCGTCTGCAGCACGATTATGAAGCAAAAATTCTAAAAATACCAATTTTAACTAAAAAACTGGCTTTTTTTTTAGGGAAAATGTTTAGGAAAAGTTGGATACTTCCCCTCAAATTATGTTACAAAACTCCATCCTGGGGAACATCCATTGCAAGTCACTCACACCGTTCAAGTCACTGATGGAGAAAACGGGGTGAAGTTGCTTAGAGATCAGGTCAGTTATCAATTTTTAGGGAATTTCTTTAGAATTTACTACTATAAAAATATTTTCAAATTTTTTTTTTTGTGTGTGTTCAGATTGTTATCCAAGTTGGTGAAGAGATCGAAGGAATGGTCACAATCAGAACAGGAACAACGGAAAAAATCTTTACTTGTCCATTAAAATATCTGCAAGACGTCTGAAAGCTCCCACTTATAATAGAATTGGTGTTGTCTACCCTATTTTGTTTTTCTTCTGTCGTTCTTTGTTAAGATCTGAGGTCTTAAACAAAGGCGCGTGGCTTTTGGCCCATTGCCAAAATCGAACGACACCCCCGGGTCCTACGACCTATCACCAAAAAAAAACCACACATTTTTTTTTTTTTTTTTAATTTGCAAGAAGAAGACCATGTCGTGTGGCACGTACAGTACAACTCATAGGCAGTACGATCACAAGTGCCTAGATATAAATACAACACACCACACACACATATATATATATATACACACGAGTACATACATGCATACATAAATTTCTTAATTTTATTCTCTCTCTTTTCTCTCTCGTTAGCTAAAACGTGTCCAGGACCTTTATAAATTTAGTTTATACGTATGTATAGTATATATAACAATAGTTTATAACCTGTTATACGAGCCGATCGAGTCATTTTACCATACTTGTATATTGTTATACCAGGGCATAGATTTAAAAACTTCTTTAAAAAAAATCATATTGTAATGAAGGCAATTTACTTGAAACATTGTTATTTATACATATATTTGCATAAGAAAATAATATATATAAAGTAAAATTTAAAAAATACAGAATTGTGTAGTGTAGTACAGAATCAAAAAATTCAAAAAAAAATTGGAATTTTTTGAAGGTCAGAAAGTAGTTTAAAGTTAAATTTTACTTTATATATATATAAAAATTAATAATTCATAATATAAAATTAAGAAATTCGACTCCAAACTTTAAAAAAAAACACACTTTTTTCAACATTTCTAATACACATATCATGATATTTGTTAGAAAAAATGCACCTGTTAGAGACGGTATATATATACATATCTTATATAAAATATATTTTTAACAGAATTAGAATTATTATTAGACTTTTTTTTTATTAATTCTATTAAAAAAACCAAGCCAAGAAGCGAGAATATAATTTGTTGATGACCATTTAAAACTTTAAATTTAAAAATTTAAAGCCTGTAGATCTACATAGAAAGAATATTGTTTATACAGGTGGTTTTCTCCATTGGTGGCAAATTGTGTATGTTAAAAAACAAAAAAAAAAAACAAAAAAAAAAGAATTGTTACTACCAAAAAAAAATTTATTATTGTTAAATGTTATATATAAGAATTTGGAACAATTTTACTACTGATTGTTCGTTGGAAAAATTTTTAATTAATTAATTAACTAATTAGCACGAGCACATATTCACAGATCACACACAAACACACGGACACATACCTTTATATAAATGGACTGCACAGAGCTTATCTGCACTTTTGGGCTGTTAATACTATCCAGTGATAGTTATTGCTCTGTTGGTAATTGTGATAATGTTGGCTAAATAGTTTGAAGCTGCCTTGTTAACAATATTTTTAAATGAAAAACATTAAAAAAAAAACTTTTGTCATTTTAAATGTGAAGTCATGTTTGGAGTGAATTAATAAAGAAAGAGATAGTTTTCAGTATGTTGTATTCATTTATTTGTGTTGTTTTTGGGTGAAGTAAGTGGGAATTGTGTGTGTAAGTTGATACAGTACATAAAGTGCTACACACGTTCACTGATACAGTTCGGAAGGGTGAGGAGAGATGTACACAAAATCGATATTTCGTATGCACTTTTAGAATATTGTAGGTACATACTCGACGTTGAGTGTTCTAAACACATAAAAATGATATAAGACATTTTTAAGCCAACGAATGTCTATAACACATTTATTACCAGCATTAAGAATTACACTACGCGTGTTCTCTTCATCTCTGCGTATGGACCAAACAGATTTTCTTTTATTTTTTACACTTTTACGTCACTTATAATCTCGACAAAAGTACAGTTTATTGTTCTATAGAAGTTAGTTAATATATTATTAAGAGTTATACGATAATTACATTAAATTTCGTCAATATTTCATGTTGGCACGGATCCACGGAATAACTTTCTCGAATTCGAGTTACGTTTTACGTTTTAATTTATTAATAGGAATTTATACATGAAATGCTATTAAGTTATCGAAAGTCTGTGCTCGATTCTAGTGTTTTATTTTTTTATTTGTTTTTTTTTTTCGTGCGGAAGAAGAAAGGAGAGAGATAACGGAATCCATTTTCTAAATGTTTAAACTTTTATCAGATTGTGTCAGAGCAATTCTTAAAGCCGATTTTCTTGGAGTAGTTTGTAATCTTATACCCAGAAGATCTCGGGGAAGGGTATAAGATACAAAATCCAAAATTTACAGGGCCCTTTTTATCTTTAGAGGGCCCTTTTTTGACCAGTTAAAATATAGTCTTAATTATATTTTATTTTCTGTTATAAGAGTAGCTTTAATTTTTCGTAGGGGTAAGAAACACTACCATGGCCCCCTCCGTACCATAAAAATCAATTACATTATCAATCTAAGGAAGATTTCATTGTTTGCTTCCAGACAAGCGAAAAATTTCAGTGAAAATAAAAAATTTCTCGGTATATTTTTATAATTTCAGTAATAAATAAATAATAATAAAAAATGATTTATAACTTTACAAGATGAATGAACTGTGTTAAAATTTGATAAATAACACCGATGTTCAAAATTGATTGTCAACGATGCTGTATCGAAGAATTTTTACTACACAAGAAATGGAAAATTTTGATAAATTGTAGGTAAAAAAAAGCTAAAAAATATAGTTTAAAACCGATAAAATTTTATTACAAATATATAATACCGCGCCCCCGCTTTACGATTTAAGCGGTTCCCCCAAAAAAACACGTCGGTCGTAAATCGAACCCAAATTTCCTGTAGACTTAGTGTTATAAATCGGGGTTACGTTGACGTTATCACAATTTGAACTATATAATATCTTATTTTTGATAGGTCAGCTGAATGTGGTATTTTATATAAATGTAAAAGGAATTTTATATCAATCATAAAAGCTGGGATTAGAAAGATATCGGTCGTAAAGCGGGGTATGCTATAGATAACTTGACACCCCATTTTCTATTGTGCTTACTGTTCGTCTATTTCTCTATCATACTACGGGAAAATGTATGTTATGTGCGCGACATGTATGACGTGATTCGAATTTTGAATCTATTCAGTGAATATCTGAATTAGTATTAAGTCGCTTGCAATGTAAGCTATGTGTTGTGACGTAAGCTATGAGGTAATACAGCTATAATGACGTAATGATACAACGGTTTTAGAGCTAAAGTATCATAAAATCGAACCCGAAACGTCCTTGGTATATGAATGGGATCGATAACATTCCAGTTTGAATTACATGTATCTTGGCGACACTTGCAACTCTAATTTTTATATAATGCACCACACACGAAAAAAATAGTACAGATTTTAAAATTAGAATAATTAATTCAAGATTTATAATTTTAAAAAAAATTAATGCGTGATTAAAAGTTCATAAATTTTAAAATAAAAATGAAATTAGGTCGAGCGCAAAGAGGTTGATTAAACAGCCACGGCGACGTCAGACATTTTTTACTTACTTACGTCGATCGATCTGATTGATTGTTAGATTTGCCACGTGACATTAAGGACCAATCAACAAACCGCACGAAATTTCGAAATTAATTCTGTTAAAGTACAGTAACTTCTTTCGGCGCCATTTTGTATCCAAAAGAATAAATTAGTTATTTTTTTAAATGACGTTTTTACGAATTGAAGTTAATAGAGTAAATGAAGATTAACTGTAGCGTTGTTACATCATTAAGGGTGGTGTAGGTTTTTACCATAATTTGACGTTAACTCTATTTTTACAATGAAAAATTTGCTTGTAAATATACATTATATCGACCAATTGAACAGTCCTATACAATTGCGAATACAGTGGGCATCAAGTTTAGTATAGTGAAGAAATTGTGCATATGATTGTAGTATGATGTAGCTACAATTTTTTACGAACATCTATGCGATTCACAGCTGTGCACAGATTTATTTGCACTCATATTCTTCATGTTAACAATCAATAATCATTGGCAGGTGTCCACAATCTTTATAATCAGAAATTTAGATAATTAGTATGATTATCTACATAAGACGATTACTAAATTTTATCATCATCATTGAACAAACCTTACAATGACGTATGTACGATGTTTACATGATCTTTTTTAACTCGTGGGCTTGGGCTTGAGAAAAAGTCCTCTTAATGCCCTCTCACAAGTTCGTCCAGGCTTACAATGGCCTTATTGGTGAGCCTGACCAAGATTATTAGTAGTGAGGTATGAGACCCAACATACCTAGTTGAAAATTTTTGAGGGATGTGGCCAGAACTAGGACCCCTCAAAAGTGGCAAGCAGCTTTACCTCTTCGATCCTCTAAAACTTATATTTAAGAACTAAAATAATTCCAAAGCAATTATTTTCAATCATCTCTAGCGTATTGTATCCATTATGACAGAATACTCTTATCGTATTTTACTTGTACTATACACTAGAAATATACAGTAGAAGACAATACGCAACTGTATTGGCAATAAGTTGAATAATTTATTTTCTCTGATAGTAAATAATTTCATCGTCAGATGGCAGCACTATAAAAAATGGTTAAAAACATTTTCTTAAATTAGGCCTTTGTGTTTCAATATTTTCGTTTATAATAAACGTTTTTTGTAAGGATATTAACATGAAATAATAAATTTGTGTGGTGTATATACAAGAAAGATTAACATTTTTGTCCATTATAGACAGGTTTAACCTGCAATGGGAATTTGAACCCTGAAACTAGTGATCAAATGTTATATTCACTGGGCCATTAATGGACAGAGTAATAGATGTTTCAAAGTCGCATGTCACGTGATAAAACGCACGTTTTCTCCACCCCTTCGTCGCCATGTTTGTGGTCTAGCTTCCGCTTGCTTAGTATACACGTGGTTTGTTATTTGACAGGTTGGCAGCACTTTTTTCAATTTAAACTTAATAAAACTGCAGTATTTTTATATCATGGACAAAGTTAAAAAAAAAAAAAAATGCTTTTCTGGCGGGTTATTCTCGCAGTCTGACAGGACCAGAGTCGATAGATATACTGATCCTTAAGCTATGCTCTAAAGTAGAGTTAATGTGTCAGGTTGCCGATAGCTGGCGTTAGAGTAGCACTACGGCGAGAAGTTAGTTAGTTTATCTATTTGGTTAGTAAGTAGTTCTATCGTTTTCAAGCATTTTTGTAACATTTTTGTTACTGTTCTGTCAAAAAAAAATCTTATTCGTAATTACATTTTTAAATTTTATATCATGTATAAAGAAAGAAAAAGTATATTTGGCTCAA